CTCATTGCAAGCATTGAAATTCAATTTTTTCACGCTCTCACCGTGCCCGTTGGGCCAATGCAGCTTTTGATATTACATTATCATTTTGTGCCTAAAAAGAAAATATTTTATCATTGAAGCAAAATATGTGAATATTTTGTGCTTAAAATGAAACTATCTTCTTATTTCTTCCATTTCTCTTAATTTTGTTATCTATTTTATTTGTTTTATACCTTTAATAGTGTTATCTTTATTTCTTTATTTCTTATTTCTTCCCTTTCTATCTTTTTATTTCTCCCCTTTCCCTTTCCCTTTCCCTTTCCCTTTCCCTTTCCCTTTCCCTTTCCCTTTCCCTTTCCCTTTCCCTTTCCCTTTCCCTTTCCCTTTCCCTTTCCCTTTCCCTTTCCCTTTCCCTTTCCCTTTCCCTTTCCCTTTCCCTTTCCCTTTCCCTTTCCCTTTCCCTTTCCCTTTCCCTTTCCCTTTCCCTTTCCCTTTCCCTTTCCCTTTCCCTTTCCCTTTCCCTTTCCCTTTCCCTTTCCCTTTCCCTTTCCCTTTCCCTTTCCCTTTCCCTTTCCCTTTCCCTTTCCCTTTCCCTTTCCCTTTCCCTTTCCCTTTCCCTTTCCCTTTCCCTTTCCCTTTCCCTTTCCCTTTCCCTTTCCCTTTCCCTTTCCCTTTCCCTTTCCCTTTCCCTTTCCCTTTCCCTTTCCCTTTCCCTTTCCCTTTCCCTTTCCCTTTCCCTTTCCCTTTCCCTTTCCCTTTCCCTTTCCCTTTCCCTTTCCCTTTCCCTTTCCCTTTCCCTTTCCCTTTCCCTTTCCCTTTCCCTTTCCCTTTCCCTTTCCCTTTCCCTTTCCCTTTCCCTTTCCCTTTCCCTTTCCCTTTCCCTTTCCCTTTCCCTTTCCCTTTCCCTTTCCCTTTCCCTTTCCCTTTCCCTTTCCCTTTCCCTTTCCCTTTCCCTTTCCCTTTCCCTTTCCCTTTCCCTTTCCCTTTCCCTTTCCCTTTCCCTTTCCCTTTCCCTTTCCCTTTCCCTTTCCCTTTCCCTTTCCCTTTCCCTTTCCCTTTCCCTTTCCCTTTCCCTTTCCCTTTCCCTTTCCCTTTCCCTTTCCCTTTCCCTTTCCCTTTCCCTTTCCCTTTCCCTTTCCCTTTCCCTTTCCCTTTCCCTTTCCCTTTCCCTTTCCCTTTCCCTTTCCCTTTCCCTTTCCCTTTCCCTTTCCCTTTCCCTTTCCCTTTCCCTTTCCCTTTCCCTTTCCCTTTCCCTTTCCCTTTCCCTTTCCCTTTCCCTTTCCCTTTCCCTTTCCCTTTCCCTTTCCCTTTCTTTGTTTTCTATTTTATATATTAAATAAGAATTAAAAACCTATCTTATTTAGTTTCTCCTTTCTTTATATATTTTTTCTTTATTTCTTCGTTTCTTTTTTCCTATTCTCTTTATATAAGTAGCAACTTATGGACGGTACATTATAAATGCACATGTATCCATGCAAAATAAGAATAAATAAATTTGAAAAATACATACAAATAATAGCAAGTTACATGAAAACATATTACAATCATTCTACAAAAACAACATAAAACAATAAATTCATTTTATACACTCATATCTTTTAACTATTCGAAATTTTGATTAGTTTTGCATCATATTTTTAAAAAAGAATATATACCACTTGACATGCATTTGTCATTCTCTTGTCGGAATGAGCCATCTTTTCTTTTCCTTTAGACATTGGGTTGACCTTTTCTTTATCTTTTGCCTAACAAATATAAATAAAATATTGAAAAGATTAAAAAAATCTTATATAAATAAAATACATATAATGTTTGACTTGATTTTGTACTTACCACACGAACACGGATATCATTAAGGTCGTGCTCATCACGGATGACCACACCAACATTTCTACATGGAGTTGTAGGAGGAGGCTTACAGAAATAGATTGTGAACAAATTAAAATCTATATAATAAAGTGGTAATAGTAAGAGTAAAAAATTCGAGATTGTCTTGGGTAAAAAATTCTTTTTCTTTTTACCAATTTGGTGTTAAAGAAGGTTGTCTTGGGTTAATACATTCCTTCGATCTTTCTCTTTCTCGTTCTCGTCGCAGGCGTTGTCCCAATTGGTATGCAGAACATGGCTTTTGATTTTTTTCACGTTCTCGCCGTGCACGTTGGGCCAATGCAGCTTTTGATAACACATTATCATTGTGTGCCTAAAATGAGAATATTATATAAGAATGTGCATAAAATGTGAAGATTAACTAACTTTCTTCCCTTTCATCATGTATTTTTTCTTCCTTTTAACTAACTTTTTCTCTTCACTCGGTTAAGTTGTTAGTCATATAAGAACCAATGCATGTATTTATGAAATTTAAAAAGGAAGGGAAAAATAATTTGAAAATACATTAAGCACACAAAACTGCAAACTCACTATGCACGCATTTATTGGTTTTAAGACACTACCCATCTCTTTACAAAATGTACGTTGAAAAGGTATATTAGATCATTCAGTACGTAAAATGTGAATATTAGCATGTAATGTCTTGTATTTTCCTTTTCTCTCTTCTTGTTGTTTCTGTTATATTAAAATGCATTTTTGTCTTTTTCTTCTTTCCTTAAGAACTTCTTATAAGAAAAATAAAAATTAAAAAAAATTATATTATGTAGTTTCTTTTTCATCACATATTCGTTCTTTCTTCTTATTTTCCTTTTTCGTTTTCTTCTATTATATTTTTATTATGCTATGTTGTAGATGCAACATATTGTACAAATGCAGCATATTTTTGTCATACATATAGACAAACATATTAAAAATTCAAATTAATGTTCATACAAATGCATTAGCATATTGTACAAATGCTTACTTTAACATGCTTCAGAAAAACATTTTACATTCAATAAAAAAAATTGAATAAATTTTTGAAAAAGAAACTTTTGAAAAATGTACATAAAAAATAGTATATGACACTATGCAATTCCTAAAAAAATCTATATAATATTCGAAAAAAAAAACTTCTAAAAATTGTTGAGAAACCATACCATGGGATGTACATTTTCCTTTCCTTTGCCATAAGGAATAACTTTTTTTGTTGCCTTTGATATTGCTTTGTCTTTTTCCTTTGCCTTTGCCTGTAAAAAATAAGTATAATATATTTATAAATTATTTTTAAAATAATAAGAAAATACATGTCCAATGTTCAAGTGACTTTTAGGCTTACCTCATGAATGTGAATAGTATTAAGGTCACGCTCATCGCGAATAACAACATTAACATTTCTTTCTTGAAGAAATCGAACCTATACATACAAAAACTTTAGAGTGATAAATAAAACTTTATACACATAAATAAGAAAATTAGTAAAGGGAGGTGATATTACGGTTCGGTGCAAGTCCCCATCCACCTATAAAGTATGAGGAAAAAAAATAATTAGAATAGTGATATAAGAGAGGTACTTAAATTTATATGAAGAGAAAAAAGAAGAAAAAAAACTTACTTGACCAAAAATAGTGATATTGTTCATAACTGTTGTGTTTCAACCTAAAATGTTTGGTTATATAATTTTAGACACAAATAAACAAAAAATTAGCAATAATAAAAGTTAAAATGGATTTCATTGGCAATGAAATGTCATTTCCAAATATGTTGCTACCAAATCGAATAATAAAATTCAAAATTTTATTTAAATAAATAACTACCATGAAT